TTTTAATTATTAAATTCCATAACAAAAATATCTAAAAATCCCATTTCTAAGTAATAATGTTAGGTGGAAATAAAAAAGTTTCATTATAAACATGCTTCAAAGTTGCTTACTTTCTACAACAACTATAATTTGGCATACAGTCAAGAAAAATAGAGATATTTCAAGATAATATAATGTAAAAGATGAGAAATGTCAAGATTTAATGTTGTCACAAAAAGAAGAAGCGAATATATTGAAGTAACAGAAAATTAATGTAGAAGATTAAGCATGAGATCGCATGTCAGGAATTTTCCCAAACATATAATTTAATGTACTGTGTAGTTTCTACTCATTGTAAAATAAATTTTGGTAAGAAAAAATTCATGAAACTAGTTAGCTCAGCCGTTAACTGATCCTTCTTTTTTTCATCTTTCAGCTTGCGTGAAAATCAGATTAAAAATCTGAATTTATTTTCAGGTATGTCCCCAAGTAACCTGGTAAAAAATAATCAAGAAGTTTAAAAGTAAGTCTTATCTTTCTCATTGTGAATATTGCCTATCTAGTAGAGTAATTTAGTTTTACTAATTTTTAACATAAAAATATCTAGATGTAAGCTGAAGTTATAAATGTTTTTTTACTAATTGAAGAAAAGAGCTGTGAGCTGATAGGTGGATAAAAAATAAGTATAACATTGCTTTTATAGTCTTGTGGTAGAATTAAGGTTTTGGAGCAATCATATTAATTTATTTTTTCTTTTTTTTAGAAACAATTAATTTACGCTTGAGTTTGAAGTACTTGGTTAAATGTTATTAGAATATAGCTTCAAAAATACATGATATAAATCCCAAAGACATAAATACTTTTATGTATTAAAATGTAATTACATCAAATATATAGATAAATATCTTATATTTACGCCTGACCTTTGCTGCTCGAGATATTAATGAAACGTCAAATCATTTATAACATTGACGTTATCCCTTTCATCTAGACAATCTCATTAGATCAAAGCGTTTATTAAATACAAGCGATTATTTCATCACTTTCCAACAAAGTATATGAATATATTTTCTGCTCGGAAGCTTTTTTTTTTCGCTTCATACATTTCTTAAAAGATTGATTTAATAGGTTTAAAGTTAAGAGCAAAAACAGCGACGGTTTCATTAGATAAGTATCCGTTTCAAGGTGTATCTCCATAGTTCTAAAATATCATGTCTTACATAAAGATCATCCGCGTTGATTGATTAGAAGATACCTTCATTTTAACAATAAACCTTTCAAAAGACATTATAATACCAGTATTTCCCTGTGCCACCCAGTAGCACAGTGGTATGTCTGATGATTTAAACTTCTAAAATCCAGATTTCGATACCCGTTGTGGGCAGAGCACAGATAGCCCATCGTGTAGCTATGTACTTAATTTCAAACAAATTTCTCTTTGTAGTGCTCTTTTTAGAGTTTAATATCCCCGTCACACCAAACATGCTCGCCCTTTCAGCCGTGGGGGCGTAATAATGTGAGGTCAATCCCACTATTCGGTGGTAAAAAAGTAGCCCAAGAGTTGGCGGTGGGTGGTGATGACTAGC